GCCCTCTCTTTCCCGCATGTCCAACCCAGGAGGCGCAGAGAACAGAGCACACCTGTGGTTAAAGCAGGTGGTGGATGGAAGCTCTGACACCATCGCTGGTGTGGACAGAGTCCCTGCAGAAATGGGAGGCCTGACTGAGGACAGGGGGCGCCCCACGATGCACGACTCATGGAGGGGAGACGTGGAAGGTCAGCAGAGATGTGACCACAACTGGTGACGTTTTTACAAACATCGCAGAAGGGAAAATAAACATCACATCTTGAGCTTAAATTGATTGAGTGGATACAACAAGAAAGTGGTGACTTTGTGCAACTGTCTAGTTTTTTCTTAATAAACCGTGAAGAGCTGTATTGGAAGGTGCGTGTGTATAAAGCAGGGGTGGGCAAACTTTTTGACTCGAGGGCCACAATGGGTTCTTAAACTGGACCGGAGGGCTGGAACAAAAGCATGGATGGAGTGTTTGTGTGAACTAATATAAATTCAAAGTAAACATCATTACATAAAAGGGTACGGTCTTTTTTTTCAATAGTTTTATTCATTTCATATGGGCCGGATCCGGCCTGCGGGCCGTTGTTTGCCCACGGCTGGTATAAAGTGTGAGTCTAGAATTTTCAGAAACAGCCGGTGTCCAGCTGTTTTCTCCACCTCAACACTTTTGACATTTGGACCAGATGATTCTGTGTGGTTTGTGTGGGTGTTCTGTACACAGTGGGCTGCCCCCAGCACCCCCACCAGTTGTCAGAGAAACCCCCGTGTGACAGCAGACATGGCTCCAGAAATTGCCATAAGTTCCTGGGTTGTGAAGAGGGGGAGGGGGTGGTGAACCATCTGAAAAATCTTGGGTGAAAATGCACTGTTGATGATGCAGCAGTTGGGAATTGCAATAAAAATTTAGCCAATATTGTGTCTGTGGAAAGGCCTGGTCTGTATGACATGTATGTTTTTAGGAATCTGGTCCCAGTTCAGACTATTTTTCCAGCAAAATAAACTTGTTCAGGACCAAGATCTAGCTGTTTCTTTGCCTTGTTAACTAACCACCAAGCCATTCTTTATCCTCCACATCGTCTTCTTTCGTAATCTCCCGGCCACTGGCCCACTGCTTGTCTACAGTAGAAGATACAGCCACGGCCATTTGAATCCTGTTCAAAGTCCCAAATAATTCGAGTTCTAATTACTGCTCCCAGTAACACCAGGAGGCATCAGGTTACCAACCTTGGCCGGATGTGGACTCTCATTTCTACAGGCAGGTCCCTCAGAAGGGGAGCAGCTGAGATGAACCCCTCACATAGACAGATTACAAATAGGAGCAGGTCCCAGACTTTAGATGGAGACTTTCACGTAGAAGTGATGGCAGAGGGGAGGGCACTCTGCTCAGGCTCAGGCTATCTAACTTTTCACAAATTCTCCAGCACCTTCCTGACACATGAGAAGCTGAAAATAAACATGTGTGAGTTGCTGTTCACTGTAGCCTGTGTGGTCAGCACTATCAGGCCATGCTCATGGGCCCAACTGAAAGACGGCCAGATAAAGCAAATAAAAATACTCAATTCCCAGTTACACGTGGAATTCAGATAAATAATTGTTTTT